TTAATATGTGTAACAAGAAAAAAAAATGTATTTATGAATTTCACTAAGCCTTACTTGCTGCTGAACCATATTTGTACGAACGCATTCATATGTAATGCATTATTCTTGTGCCAAATATTTAATTATAACATTAAATTTATTTTATTAAAATCATGTTAAGCTGTATCAATGGTTGATAGAAATTTTTTTTAAGACCTTTTCATCTGTAGTGGGAGAAAGTTATAATTGAAAGACAAATATAATTTACAAATTTTTACGTGACATGCAATAAGATTTTACAATAAAGATAATTAGGCTGTTTCAAGTATCTCCCTCTATGATTTATAGAATGACTTGATTGACTAAATATAAATCGTAATAATAATTTAAGTCAAAGAACCTACTGTAATTGACTGAAATTTATGTGATCACTTCATTTCGATTAATCGAAACGGATGAAATTTCAATAAATAACAAATTACAATATATTGATGGAACTGACTGAGAACAGTTTAAATAATCTAAATATTAATTTATTATGATCAATTCACTACTAAAAATTATGCAACTCGGTCAATTAAAGCAATACTTTAAATAATCAAACTATGACTACAAAGATTAGAATAAATGGATTCTAAATAGTTTATTTCAAATACAATGTATGTTTTGCTAGTTACAAATAGGACATATAGCAAGTATAATTAGCATAGCATCATTATTTAATTATTACATTATTATTCTATAATATAAATAAGTAGATATTATAAGCATCATTTATGTTGTGAACATGTATATAATCGAATGAGGTAAAATTTAATTATAATTAAAATTATATCCAAGCTTAATATAATAAACCAATGAATAAGGCAATGAATGAACCAATGATCATTTCAAAGTTGCCAACGCGAACGCTTGAAGCAGCTGATGCTTTGGTAGGAGAGGCTGCTGCTGAAGATCCAGATGCTGAAGGTGGAGGACCGCCGCTATTTTTTTTTTAAAAAAAAGAAAGAAAAATTAGATATTGTCAATTATTACAAATAATTAACGAAAAGCTTTAAAATACTTACGACTTAGGGGCACCACTAGGAGCGGGACCAGCGGGACCACCACTAGGTGGGGGACCAGCAGGAGCACCAGCACCAGTAGCACCAGGAGCAGGAGCACCAGCACCAGTAGCAGCAGGGGCAGCGGCGGAACCACTAGCACCAGCTGGAGCACCTGGAGCACCTGGAGCACCAGTTGGAGCACCAGCTGGAGGACCAGTTGGAGCACCAGGAGCCTTAGCGGCAGCGGAACTGTGGAATTATAGAAAAAGTATGAAACATATTTGAAAAAAAAATTGAGTTTCAAATTCACAAACTTAAACACTTACGCTGTTTCTGTTGGTGCTTGGGCAATAACGCCAGAGGCGATAAGAATGCATAAGAGGAAAATGATTGTACTTTTAGTGATTTTCATTTTTGTATTAGGATGTGAATAAATTTATTTGTTCTTTATTAATTTGTTTTTTGTTAATTTTTTTTTTCTTAGTTCAAGTAGACAAGGCTTTTATCATTAATGTCAATTGATATTTAATTCCCGAATAAAAGGAATGAGAACCCGTATTTATAAGAAACCATGAGCATAGACGTGCTATTTAATTAAAAAGATACATTAATAATTAGATTTTATTTATTTATACACATGGTTTCTAAACCAATTCCTGTTACTCCTGTTAATTAAATGTTTATCGTACACATTTTCGCTGCTAGTAAAGATTGGTTCAATTTAAGATTTAATATTAAATTTGATTTACACGAATTTCAATTTCATAACTGTAGTGGTTCATTACAGCATTACAACATATAAAGATAAATAATGATCGTCATTAGTGTCATCATGTGAAAGAAATAACTTACTTACAATGTGAAGATTAATGATTTTTTCCAGTTACACATGAGTACTTCGGATCTTTTTAAAGATTTTAATGTCGATTTTTAATCATACAATTTTTTGTTAATCTTTGTTAAATTTGTAAATTATTTTGCATTATTTATATTTATATGCATTTTGCATTGTGTAATTATCATATAAATATAATTTTAAAATAAAGGGCGTATTGGTTTAACGTACGTACATACGTACGTACGTACTATTTAAATATTTTACACGTAATACGACATATTTCCAATTAGCTTTTTTTAAATTTTTTGAATTATATATGGAATTATTCTATTATTCTTTGTTATACAAAATATAATACGTAATAATTTCACCGTCATATATACAGCAAAAAAAAAAAAAATCGAAATCCGGGATTTGACACTTCTAAATGAAATGAAATTACTTTTATTTTTCTTAGTTCTTATTCAAGGGGTCATATTGATCTCTGGTAAGAAGGGTTATTACAGTAAAAAGGGTTCACATATTTACAAAAGGCCGAATGGTAGCGTCAGTGATCCATATCCGACTGTTTTCAAAGAAAAATATGAGGGTGGACTTAGGTTTTTGATTTTTGGTGATTGGGGACAGGAAGGAAATGGTACCGGTCAACCTCAAGTAGCAGCTGCTATGAAAACTTGGGCAGATCGCAATAAAACTACATTTATAATAAATGTTGGAGGTAAGTAATTAACATGCTTGCATTTTACTTGTTTGCTTAAAAAAGAAATTACATGTTTATATTTTATTTGTTTGAAGTTTACTTATTTAAATTTTAATAAAAGATTTTTTTAACTTTTACTAGATAATTTTTATCAGACAAGTAATACTACTGCTAAAGCAGTCACTGATCCAATTGATCATGAAGGTGTATCAAATGAAACTGATCACAAATGGAAATCCTATTGGTTAGATGTATATGGGGGCAGATTGAAAGACATAAAATGGTTTTCCGTAGCAGGAAATCATGATTGGTATAATAATGTCAGTGCTGAAGTTGATTATTTCTGGAATGTTGACTCGAGATTCTTCCTTCCCTCACTTTATTACGTCCGAAAAGTTAAATTTGGTGAAGGGAAATGCGCAGCCTTTATTCACATAGACACAGATCCGTATTATTATAACTATACCAGTTATAATCATACAAATAATTTAAAACAAACGCTTAATAATTTTAATTTATATACACCTGAACAACTTGATGGTAGATTAAAATGGCTCGAAGATCAGTTGAAAAAAGTACAGGATGCTGATTGGATTTTCGTTGTCGGTCATCATCCACTTATTGGCGATTGTCGAATTAAAAATGATGCCTATTATTTAATGTATGAAATTCCACCAATTCTAACCAAGTATAATGTATCAGCCTATTTTAACGGTCATGCTCATGACCTTTCCTTTTCGGCTGCTAATGCAACTTCTCCTGTCACTTATTTTGGATCTGGTGCAGGTGGTGCTACACTTGGTACTGGATGTTTAAATCCAGATTGGGCTTCACCTTACACTTTTGGTTTCTTATCTGTTAAAATACCAGCTAATGGAAAAACTTTATATTTCGATTTTGTTGATGCAAATAAAACTGATACTCCTCCTAAAGTCATTTATTCGGGTAAGATAAAATCTCGTAAAGTAAAAGATGAAAATTGATGTAAATGATGTAAATGATGAAAATGAAAAAAGATGAATGATGTTAATGTTAATTAGTATAATTAATATATAATTTTTATTTAATATTTGTTTTTTGAGATTATTTATTACATTCTCACACAACAAACAACAAGAATTTAATTTTTTGCTTTATAATTTCAAGCAAACTTTTTATATAGATACTAGACTAATTCTATAAATTCATGTAGAAATATTTAATTACAATGTTTACAGAACAATATCAATGTGAAGTTAATACAAAATTATTTTACTATATAAAGAGTTTTGGGGGGTAATTATTTAAAATGACCTAAACAATTATTATTTATATATTATGTAATACTGTAACAGCAGAGTTGGCGTAGACTGATTACAGTCGGCCAAAGAGTTTAGTAATGGTCAAATCGGTCAAATGTTATTTACACTAAATATAGAATATGAATGTGAATAGGGCGCTGCTGGCTTCCTACAACTTAAGTTCAGATAAGGCTAAAAATTAAAATTAACTATTTGTACATAACGTTAAATTTTCAGCAAAATTACTATAAGAATCAGATCGTTATATTCATCAGTTAAATCAATTTTAATAGCGATAAGAAATAATTAATAATAAATATAGTTCTGTAGTTTACTTCGAAGATTTCAATTAATAAATACTACTAATTATCAATTTCTAAATTGATGGATAATCTTATCTTGATATAACATACAAAACAACGAAAACTTTATTTTTAGACTAACTAATTTATATAAATATGAAGAAATAGTTTTTCTAGCGTTGTATTATTTCTCTCGACAGACCGGTTAGCTCGAGATTACAAGATTGATAAATTTCTGTGGCACGGCTATAGTACTTTTTCAAATGCACACTATTATAATTATCACAAACAAAAATCAAAGAAAATAAGAATCCCAGTTTACTATATCTTCATATTGATAAAGCCGAGATCAGCTTAGTTGATGACCGGAATTGTGTGAATTGATATACTTTTAAAGGGGTGTATGTATCGTACGTACGTACGTACGTGCATCGCTTTCGTGAGCATCACGAATATCAATTTTTTTTAGCCAATAAAAATTGCTGTGCGGATGCATGTACGTACGCAAATCATTTCCCTTTCTTAAAAATCACTTAACTGCCCCTTTAACGTTAATGCGCATACACATTTTGTATTACAGTACAGTATTAATAATCTCGGTATGGCACAAAATTTACAATAGGGGTGCTATACACATGCCAAACAAATCGTAATTTAGTTGAAAAAGTGCGTAATGTATTCGTTTTTTGCACAAAAATATTCATTCTTTAAAAGGGAGTTACCACTATTCATAGTTAAACAAAAAAAAAAAAGGTTTCTAATAACTGGTAAGTTCAGAAGTTTATTAACTGACATGATCTACATAGCCAATTGAATTTCTATCCTAAAACAAAAAATTGGTAATCAAGAATATATCTTTTGGATAATTTTATTATAAAAGGATAATATTTGTATTATTATATATTTATATTGTATGACAAAACAAGTGGGACTGTCGCATTTTTTCGACAAAGTTAATATTGAACGGGGAAAAGCGAGAGTTGCTATTATTGTTTAAGTTTAAGGAATTTTAAGGTTTAGATATGTTTAGTAATATATTATAAGTAGATAAACCATAAGTCAAAATTTAAATGTGTATAATTGGCTTATAAAGTGTTAGATAGTAAATTAGATAGAGACGATAGGTCCTAATATAGTAAACAATTTATGTTGGTAATTTGATAAGTTTTCTAGGTATTAACATTAATTGAAAGAATTATTGTGATAAAGATTTAGTGAATGAAAGTGTATTAGGATTCTTTCTAAAAAAATAAAAATCGGCGAATTTGTAGGAGTCAAGTCAGTAAAGCCTGCAAATTCATGATTACAATATGTTTTTTAATATCTTTATGGTCCGCTTCGGTTCTTGTAAGATCAAATAATTATTCCATATTTGCTTTAAACTTCAGCTCCAGGGCTTACAAATTTATACTAGAAAAAAACTTAATAAAAATTTTAAACACATAAAATACATTGTTTAATATTTAGTAGCTCTTTACAAAATTAACTGCGTACGATATGTATGATGTCAATCATTTTGGGATGAATTCATTTTTTTTTTTACTCTTATGCTTTCCAAATGACAAAATCCTGTTGGCAATGTCTCTCTCTCTGCTCACCCGCTCTTCACGTATGTTAAGTGACAAAATCTCTTCAAACCGTTTTATTTTCGTGCAACAAGGCTATAACAAATTAGGAAAAAAGTGTGCCCCTGATTAACTTAAAAGCCTACGAGAATATAAAATTGCAATATTTTTGTATTGAGCACGATTATGGTGAGACGAAATAAAAACAATTTTTTTTTATACAAAAAAAAAAAAACAATTGAATTCACAGGACTCAAAAAAAATTTTATGCCCAAAATTTCAAGTATATCGAAAGCACTGCAGCATGTTCAAAGGAATAATCCGGTTGATATACTAGAATTGAATTTATTCGTGAGCGCACTTTATTTTAGCGCTAGTTGTGGTTTATCATAGGAATTGGAACCATTTCATATTCATCATTGAACCGTATTAACCGTTTAATTTAGCCGGGATTAAAATTGTCCAGGCCCATAACCAATATAATTCGGCCTGGCACATAAAAAGTTTTTTATACATAAACGGTTTGGAAATTTTAGATCCCAATTTAGCGTTACTATATATGGAATGTTATTAGTTGGTTGCCCCTTAACTTAATTGTGCAGATCCGGTCCCATTCCTGTCATTGGTTTCACGGGTACACTACTCCTTCTTACCCCTGCTTAGCGTCACGTCAAAAAAAAAATATAAAATGATTATATAACAATTAGTTTCATTAACGGGTTAACCC